GTCCTCCAGGAGAGCATAAAAGCTCTATGTAAGAATCAGTCCATTCACCATTTACCACGTCACAACAACAGTTGCCTCAGAGCACTTAGGTCAGGTTTTCTGAAAGTGTTGTGAATGTGATAACTTGAGAACGAGGCAACAGTGGATGCCTCAGGTGTATCTACCAGGAGGCTGAGATCTGTTTGAGATAATACAACGATTACCTAAAATAAATAAAAACTGTTTAAAAAAATTCACATTAAACAAATACAAATTTATATAATTATTCATATAAACTACTTTCAGAGTCCAAGCAGAACCTGACACATCTGAAACAGGAAGGACGGCAGTTTGACTGCAACTGTGGAGTACAGTCAGATGTTCACAGGTTGACAACCAGTTGACGTGAGTCCTGTACTGCAGGAGGACACGTCGCAGAGTAGTTGTGCTCATTGGCACAGGTGGATTCGGACCGATTGTATGCTGGGAAACTGGTTTCCTCCCAGCAGACAGCGTGGAATCAGCAGTGTTTGCTGACCTTCAGATGGAGATGTTATCCAACAGCAAAGATTCACTGTGCCACCAGCTTGGTCACGAGGAGGATTTATCTTGATGTGGAACCACCTGACATGAAAAGCTGTTTTAGTTTTATTGACCTCTCAAAGCCACTTTATCCTTTTGTTGCACAAACCAGGACATGATCAATATTTCCTAGTTTGTAAGACAGGATCTGATTGGACAGCTAAACTAAAACAAGCTGAAGTTACTGTCAGAAGAACCGCTCAGAGATGAAATGTTGCTGTCATGGTCTTTGTGATGTGTGACATGTGCTGTTGGCAAACCCACTCTGACTACACTACATGTTCAGACACACACCCTCTGCCACACAGCAGCAAACAAAGTGCTGTATAACAGGAGCAGTAGTGGCTTTATATGGGGCCATGAAGCTGAGCGGTTGCAGTAGGACAGATGAAACTGCATGTAGACCTGCTGTCACGCTCTCTTCACATGCTGTGGATTACTGTTGGTTGTGTCTTCTGTCTGCTAGGTCGTGCATCAAGCGTGGCTGGCAGCGCTCCACCCTGATCATGTCGGTTCCCCAGACTTCAGCATCAAAGGGCAAAGTCATGCTTAAAGAGTACAAAGGGAGTCGGGTTGAAACTGAGCAGATCTTCCGCTGGATGACCTCACACGTGGCTCATCGAATCAAAACGCTGCATCATTCGGAGCAGCTCGTGGAGGAGTGGCGTTCTGACCCAGCTCATCCACTGAAAATGTTTCTGTTTGCCCGCCTGTCCCAGCCGCCGGCCTTTTTCTCCTCGCTGTCTGTCAAGTTCACCGGCAGGATTGAGTTCATCTTTGTGGATGTGCGTCGTTGGGGTAACTATAGCAGCCTATCAGAGATTGGTGTGACACGCAGCCCCGCCTACGTCCTTAAGATGCCTGAGGGCATATATCACTACGGCAACAGGTGATAACTGTTAATGAAGATGTCTGATTTTTTAAAAACACGTTTTTTTATGTAAAGAAATTAAACTGCCGTCTGTGTTTCGTCCCCAAAGCACCGGGGAGTTCCTGTCCCTCGCTGCCATGGATACTTTCCTGCGCTCGGTCCAACCAGAGGTCAACGATCTGTTCGTCTTCAGTTTGGTCCTCATCAACCTGCTGGCCTGGATGGACCTCTTCATTACACAGGTCACTGTTTGTTTTCCTTAGTTGTAGAGGTGAAAGGGGACAAAAAACATCTACTCTCTACTTTACTTTATATTTACTATGTTCTACTCGACTCGAAGTTTACTTGTTAGAGCACTACATGTGTCTGACAGCTTTGATACTTGTAGATACAGTTACATTAGCACTAACTACACATGCTGTCTGTGCTGCTTAATAGAGCTGCACAGGAACAGGAAGTTCCTCCCAGAAATGCATCAGTTGTCATTTTCTTTCTTCTTCCTGCCAATATTATTATTATTATTATTATTATTATTATTGTTATTATTATTATTATTATTGTCAAGTCTGATTTTCTTCCTACAGATGATTTCAAACAGCATACACAATCAACTTTTCTTCAATCCACAATTTTATTTTCATAATAAAATAAATTATTCAGCTTTACAGTTTTCCTCACATTGCATTAAGTTACAGTTCTTCTCTCATTGAAACAAATAAAAGTTTTCTAGTCCTACTGAGCTGCACAGGGAACTAACTGAAAAACTGCCACGCGCCTGTCTTTACCTGGAGTATTTTAGCTGTTAGTAAGCATGCATGTTGTCCATGTACGTGCCTGCAAAGGACCAGCTTGTAGTCGGTTATACGTGATGCTGATTGGCCGATCCCTGGCCACTTGTCTGGTGCATCTTCAGTCGTGTTACAGATCTGTACGTCACTATAAGATATGCTGATTGAACAGCTCTCTGTAGGTCTTACTGCAGCATCTCCAAACCTGATGTTACTTTCTTTCCTTCTGTGTTTGGGTTTTGTTGCTTTGTCTTTGGTCTTCTAGCTTGCAGGTCATGTAGTGCTGTTCTGAAATTCTGATGTGAATCGTTAACATGCTTTCAGGGAGCAACCGTGAAACGATTTGTAGTTCTGATCCGAACACTTGGGACCTACAACTCCATCCTGCTGGTTTCCTGGCTGCCAGTTCTGGTAGGGAATCATCGGCACCACTCAGTCCTCACACCTGACTTTGTGTTAAGCATTTTACTTTCAAACTGTAACTTTCATTTGCTGCAGTAAAGAAAAAAAGACTGAACGAGAGCTAAAC